GGTTCGATACTAAAGATACCTTAAATAGGTGGAAACAGTTGTCAATACTTGAAATATTTTAAGTTGGTGGAACGCACTAAAAACATTTTCTCTAGCGAGTTGAAGGTACAATTTTCTGGAATAATACCACTGGTAATATACTAATAATGCGTCAAGGAACTTCCTGTTTCCTTTTTTTTTCCTTTTTTTTCTGTGTAGTATGATTTAATTTGACCAATTTGTCGTAGAGGCGAATGTTGCATACTTTGTAATTATAAGTAACTAAAATTTGTTTTAAACGTTGTGTTTCTTACAATGGCATTTGTTATCCTCAAATGAGGCCTTAAAGTGCTAAGTTCAACCATTTTACTCCTATTAGGGCTGTCATCAAACTGTTAAATTTACAAGTGCCTTTGTAATAAACACAACGTCAAAAACGATTAATAATTTGTTTAAAAAGCACAAACCCGAAGTACAAGAATTTTAAACTACATAAAAATGGCCGCCGTTAGAGTCTGTGCAGTGGGTTGCCTAACTTCGTGATTTTTAGTATGCGCGAAACGAGACAGACATTGTTGTGTGGATTGTGGGTGGTTCATTATTTTCTTAAAAATTATTAGACACTGTCATTCGTCATTAATTCTGTGGTTATGGTAATTACACAAAATTGTACCAAATTCTTTAATAATATTAGAAAAATTAGTGTTCAACTCTTAAGAAATGGCCATTTCCTTGAGGATGAAATATTAGCGACACAAGCCGAAGGCGAGTGGAGTATTCATCATTCACCATTCTTAATCGTTGAACAATATACACTGTTCAAAATTTCATGACCAATTTAACACCAAATTAACACCATACGTGGTCTATATCGATACAAACCAAAATGGTGTTAAATAAGGTTCGTTGGTCGGTGTCAATTCAAATACTAAAATGGTGTTAAATAAGGTTCGTTGGCGGTGTAAGTTCAAATACTAAAATGGTGTTAATTTAACTTTCACACAGTATTAAAATAAATTTTACCTGGTGTAAATTGAACTCCTTTTCAGTGTTAAATATTAAGTGTTTGTGGTCAAATTATCATACTACACAGAAAAAAGGAAAAAAAAAGGAAACAGGAAGTTCCTTGACGCATTACTAGTATATTACCAGTGGTATTATTCCAGAAAATGGAACTTTCAACTCGCTAAAGATAATGTTTTTTAGTGCGTTCCACTAACTTAAAATACTTCAAGTATTGACAGCTGTTTCCACCTATTTAAGGTCTCTTTAGTATCGAACAACTTGTAGATGTCACACCAAAGCAAAGGACTAGTTTATATATTCTTCATATAAGTCAACAGAGGCGAGATTTAAGAACATCACGTGATCCACAAAAATATAAATACTTATGGGTCAACTGGGTTAAATGAACTATTCCTTTTTTCTGGGTAGGTGCACTTCTCAAATATTTTTAGATAAACACCGTTTTGGTGTTCATTTTCAACCCTAATTCATGGTGTTATATTAACACCACTTGGTGTTGGATTTTGACACCATTTTAGGATTACTCTTTACACCGTAGATATTTTAAACAGTGTACTAAGTGTAAATAAAATAAAGGTGCGTTTTTGTAACACCCTGTGTATTAACAAATCGTTTTTTATGTCAATAGTTGTTATTGTCCAAAGACAAAGTAAGTTATTAACACTTTTCAGTTCTACATTGCGCGTCAAAATTAACGCATAATAAGTAAAAAAATTCTAACTCTTAAACGCCTTTACCAATCTTTATAAAAATTTTGATAAAAATACTTTAACTTATATCTCAGTTTATTTAATAAAAAATGCTCTGCAATGAAACAATTTTCTGGTAACGACTTAATATAAAAAAATATTAACCAACAAATTCTATATCACGAATAATAAACGACTTACCAAAATACAGTACAAGTATCGAAGGGTCTAAATAGGTCCAGTTTTTGAAAATATTATTGCAAAACTTGTTTGTAATTCTTAGGGAATGTTTTATCTTTGTAAAAATGGTTTAATAAACCTACACTGGTTGGGAAATAGTTAATTTCCTTACAAGTGCGCAAAAATATATTTTTCGCACGCTACTGCAGTTGCCCAAAGCGCATGTTTTGGGAACAATATTTGTTCTACAAGCAAGGGGAATCTCGCATTTTTTTCAGTCCATATTTTACTTTTTTTCTACTTGCTACTCATATTTTTGTATTGAAATATGTTAGCATAATTTTTTGTTTTTAATTAAAAACACTATTAAGGGCATGATTTAATAATTTAACATATCTTGCTTTTTTTATCAGCCTCTAGAATAAAAATATTAAATAAACTAGAAAGAAAATTTTTGTTATATTAAGAAAGGTTTAAAAGATTTGATACATTTTTAAAACACGCAAATTAGAAATTTGTACACTTGACCGTGGCCATCATTTTAAAGATACCTGTTAATAATAGTTTTTTTGTCTATTTGATTCTATTTTGATTATTTCTAGATATTTTTAGACACAAAATCACTCGGTCGTCACGTGAAAAATTGGGTTTTTTAATAGTTAAAATATTTACATATAAATATTACAAAAAAAATTGCAATTTCCTTTAATACTTTTTGCAATACTAAAAATATGCATTTTGCATGCATTTATATCTTATTGAAAAAAACACAAATGTATAGATATACTTGGTTCGTTCACTCCTAATGATTTATGGCATTATCGCATTAAAAAAAAATACGTTTGCCAAAATTCGACACGTGCCACGTTAACGGAACACTGGCAGTACTCGTACACGTGAAAATCATGCTTTTTTAAAATAAATTAAATTATTTTTGAACCAACGTTATTTAGTTATTAACCTTAGACATCTTTTCTGATAAAAAAATATTTTTGTAATATTTATAATGTTTATATTTGTATTTTGTATGCATACAAAAAAATAGTATAATATTTATCTGCTATTGTCCTACCTAATATTTAACTTGATTAAAAACAGACTATTCTTTAATAAAAATATACATTTTTATTTTTTTATCATGCATTTTATCAGTATTGCTAAAGGTTTTTTTACATAAATATTCGTTTTTATTAGCTACCTATAACTTGTAATTCTTTATTAGTTTGATACGATGTCTTTATATTATAAACATTAGGAATTTTTGGATACAAGAATAATAATTCTATCGAAACATTATTACAAGTTCAAAGTTGTTGTAAAACAATAAACAATTTTAGCCAGACAAGTCTACGCTTCATTCAATGCACATTATTTAAAGATTTTCTGTGGGATAAGGCAAATAACAATAAAAGTTTCCATATTAAAATTTTCCAAAAAGTAACTATTTGTAAATAAGATTAGTCTACTAAAATGACTCATACATTTATAAAGTATACAGGGTGCACCCAAGTATCGTTCTATGGATGGATATCTTTTAAAAATCGTTATAACTTTGTTATTTTTGTGAATTTTGTAAAAAAGTAAGTTTCAAATTTAAATATATAGGTACATTTATCAACATTTTTATCCAATATGAGGTTTTTCCCCCAATTGATTTTCTAATAAATTTAAATAAATGTGTATGTGTACCGTTATATTTAAAATTTACTTTTTTTCAAATTCCCAGGAATAAAAATTTTTTTTTAACAGGTTTTTAATTTTTTTTAAATTCTTTGAGAACCGCTAGTATTTTTTCAATTTTCAAATTTCTTTTAATTAGGATTTGACCGACCTTGTGTACAATCTATTGCTATAGCTATGTTTTTTTTAAATTTCTTCCAATCAAGCATAGTTTTGGCCTATTGGCCCCGCAAAAGGAACACAAATTTAATTTAACATTAAAATATAATTTAAAAATAATGCTTTTACCACACATTTTATTTTTTAGGTACCAAAAACAATTTAAATTTGTCAAATATTTAAAGATTCAAACCTAAGTTTTTTTTGGCGAACTGATATTTTAACTTGTTAGTAATTTCTTTTTCAAATCATTGGGCCCACTCATAGCAGTTCTAGATTAAAAATTACACAGGCCTACACTATGTTTTTCTGAAGGTTTTTGACGTGAATTCGACCTCAGAATTGCTCCATCCCCCACGAAATTGCAACCCAAAAGTGATTTTTTAAAATAATTTTTTATGTTTATATTACTTCACACGTTCCTGGAGGCCCCTTACAGCCGAGGGCCCCCTTTTTTTCTCGAAACTCAACCAAACGCCATGTTATCAAAAACATCACTTTCATAGGATATTTACAATCAAACTTTGAACCAATAAGATATTTAAAAAAATTAAATTAAATTTTATTTAATTAACCGTAAAAAGCAAGATTGATATGGTTTTCAATGAAAAAACTTTAACTTCTAAAAATTATTGTTCTTAATTATTAACAGGAAATACTCCATTGTGAATTATTTTGGTAGTTTTGAAAAAAAACCAAAAAAAAACGGTTTATTGTTTTTTTTCTATCTGGAAAAACCAGCCGTTTTTTTTAACATCTCTACTTGTAGCTCCCACATAACACCATATTCTAAGTATTAAAAAATATAATATTATTTTTATTTGAACCAAATAAAAAACAGTATTAAAAAATTAAATTAAAATATTATAACCCTTTTTTGCATTTTCTTACTTATCTTACCTTACCTTTTTGTGATTAACATTTTATTGTGTTTAAAATTTTTTTTAACTATCGGAATTATTTTACGCACTTTTTAATAAGCCAGACATAAAAATGATTGGGGAAAAATCACGTGAATTTCATAAAAATAATACTCATCTATTACATCAGATTCGCATACTGGCGTTTTTTTTATCATCAATATTAAGCGTGTTAAAAATCTTCCTATTGGAATTGGCACTGATTTCAACAAAAAAAACCGCTTCCCCACCACTTTAAACGCGATTATTTAAAATACTTAAATATATATAAGATGAGGAATAAAGAACTCATTTTAAGTTTAAACCATTGACTATAACAACCTAAAATAAGTTTTTTTGATAACTTTGTTCAACTTTTCAACGAAAAATGGAGTTTGTCGTGGGCGGTATGGCAGCTACAAGTGCCGGTATTTTCACCAACACCCTATAGAAGTGGTTAAAACATCACATGGAGCTAAATAAAAAGGCCCAAGTGACAAACAACCAGGGCAAATACAACGGTTTTTGGACGCCGGGTGTAAAGTGGCCAAAAAGGATGGACTTAAGTCTTTGCAAAAAGGACTTTCTCCAGCTCTTGGTGCACATTTAATGAGTTATGGGACCAAATTAGGTACATTTTAGACGCTCTTTTAATTTTTATTTACTTTACTAACAAAATACGTTGTATAGGTTCGTACCAGTTCGGCCAAAATCGCGGTCTAACTACAGACAGGAATGGAAATGTAGTTCTTTTGAAGAGCATATCAACCAGTGGCGCAGGAGGAATGTTGGGGACAATACTTATCCAGTCCCTTTTATTTACTAAAAATACAAAACGAGTATGACAATATGGATGACAAAACAAAGAAGGGATACATGGAAACCATTAAGAAAATCTACAAAGAACATGGAATAAAAGGTTTCTTTAGAGGAGCAAATGCCTCTCTACCTAGAGCATTCATCGGCACTTCTCAGTTGACTTCATTTGCTTTGGCGAAGGAAAATTTATATAGATTTGAGTTTTTCCGACAAAATAAATTTTCCACGACTTTATTGGCCAGCACAATTGCTGGAATCGTCCTTTCAGCTTGCATGACTCCCCTTCGACATGGTCTTAACGAAACTATATAAACAAGGTAGGGCCAATTAAACCAAATCACTTTTACAAGATTCCAATAGTGTTTTGTTACTTACAGCAATTAGTCCCTCAAGTGAACGGTCGCGTCTATGAAAGCTTTCTGGATTGCGTCAAGAAAACATACAAAGCAAACGGTTTCAAGCCCTTCTACAGAGGCATGGGTCCGATATACTTGAAATTAGGTCCACACACAATTTTATGTCTGGACACTTTGGGAAGAATTGAAAGTGTTCAGCACATACGATGTGGATAACGACACCACATCGTTTTACAAGAAATTAGGTTTCGTCGATGACAGCTTTCAAAGATACGGTTCATATACGAAAACCTTCTACGATCTGGATGACCTGAATATAGAGGATATTCACGATAATCACAAATGTGACCTGATCTGGAACTAAGTTAATTTAGTTAACTTCTTCTCAGTTCGTACATTCTGTGATTTTAATTGTAAGGCTCAATAACTAGTTATTTTGGGATACTTTAGTAATTATTATATTTATAATTAATTTATTATATACATATATATTTGTTTTATAAATACCGAGATATTTTATGTTGTGATATTTTTATATGAATAAATGTTAATTTATTATTATTATTTTCTTGATTACCCAAATTACCAAAATGTTTTTAATTTTACATATTTAAAAATGTTTATTACGGCTCCAATAAAGTTTGCAATATGAAAAATAGTTATAGGTTGAAAAAAAGTAATAATAATAATTATTATACAGGGTGTTTATACTTAAAATGGCCAACGTAATAGAGGTTGTAGATTAGGGTGATTCATTTCCGCAAAGTTTTGTTTTTTTCGGTGCTCAATCAAAATAGTAATCTGCATATAGAAAAAAAAAATTCTCACCAAGTTTGAGCTCTTAATATCAATTTTAAGTACCTACTTACTATTTAAATTTTAAGTTTTACCGTTCAAAATTGCTTTGAAGTTTTTTTGGTGTAACTCGCATTGGTTCATCCGTATAGGAGTCGTCAAAGTACAGTTTTGAAAAATATCGTATTTTTTATTTTTTTCGAACAAACCGCCCAAACGTAGGGAGAAAAAAACGACTGACTTATAAAAAAAAGTTATCCAACCAATATTCAATGAATTTACAGCCATTTTTATAACTGAAAACGTAAGAAATTGATAATTACCAATTCATAATGTTATTTAGATTGATTTTTTCTATTTATTATCATTATATTTCCCTACACTAAGAACTTATATGAAAACAACACATAATTCATAAAAAAACAACAAGAATAAAATTGTAACGTAGATTTTGCAATTTTTCAACATTTCCTGTCATATAGCAAAATATATAAATAAAGATTATTTAATTTTTTGAAGCCAAATTAGGAATATGTTACATAATAAACATACCCTTCTGTATATTCCGATTAAAGTTTTGTTGTTTTTTTATGAATTTATGTGTTGTTTTCATATTCATTATGAGTGAGAAATCATAATAATTTCTTAGTGTAGGGAAATAAAATGTTAATAAATAGAAAAAATCAATTTAAATAACATTATGGGTTGGTATTTATCAATTTCTTGAGTTATAAAAATGGCTGTAAATTCATTAAATATTGGTTGGATAACTTTTTTTTTTTATGAGTCAGCACTTTTTTCCCTACTTTAGGCGATTTGCTTGAAAAAATAAAAAAAAAAACGATTTTTTTCAAAAACTGTCCCGTTGACGACTCCTACTGGTGAACCAATGCAAGTAACAAAAAAAAAACTCAAAAGCAATTTGAGTGCGTGAAATTCCCCACAAGGGTGTATCAAACCAATTTGCATTAGATATTTGAAAAAAATATATATATTTTTTACATGCATTTTAAACGGTAAAAACATTAAATTTAAATAGTACTTAAGTACTTAAAATTGATATTAAGAGCTCAAACTTGGTGAGAATTTTTTTCTATATGTAGATGATTATTTTGCTTGAGCACCGAAAAAAAAACCAAAAACTTTGCGGAAATGAATCACCCTATTGTAGATCTTATCAAGGCTAACAATGTTTTTAAATAAATATTAAAAGAACATATTTAAATTACATCTCAAAAGTTATACTAAATGTCGTTAATTATTTAAGTAAGCAAAAACGATTTTATGGTAGAAATTCCTATTCTGTTTTTAATTTAATTTAAATCATATACAGGGTGCAAACGTAAGAAGACGTGTTTTTTCCGAAATTTGTAACACCCTGTGGGGTGCATCAGCAATAACAGCGTATGTTAATTAAAATCATACTGTAGTACTGTAGTCCTATCTCTTTTGAAGATTTCGGTTTTTTATTTACGTTATTATATATGTTATTAACAAAGATAAAGTGAATAAAGTTTAGACACATGGCGTTGAATTCGACCATCTTCAATAATGCCACATAACGAGAAATATCCGTCCACAGATATAGATATAGATATACCGTTGACAATTTTTACCGTCATACTTTAAAATAACTGACTATTTCTTTTTTTTAAACTTGTAGGTATCTTATAAGATAACTATAGTTAATAACAGAAATAATAATGCGAATAATAAAACAAAATGTTCAGAAGAGATAGAAGACACAAGAACTATAGCTCTATAGAGTATAATTTCAAATGACATTCAATTCACATCCCCATACCAATTGTTATCTACTGTTGTTAAAAAGGCATAGGGTGTCACAAATTATGGAAAAGAGTCCACCTACATTAAAAAAAATCATCACAAATTTAAAAAAAAAACATCATAATCAGATGAGCGCGCTCGAGCGGTTCGTGAGGAAATCAACATTAAAATTATTGCCAATTTCTGGTGGCCGGTTTTTTTGTTGGATAATGTATATTAAAAAATCTATTGGTGATACATTTATTAGATCAGACTATTGGAATACTGCCATTTTATATCATTAAAATTAAAAATGTTTGAAATCTTCCTAGTGGAGCTGGTTTCTACAAAAGCCTTGCGCTTAGTGATGCCGCCGATACGAGAGATTCTCGCCTCTCGTCTCGTCTCGTCTCGTCTCGACGAGACGAGAGGGCGATTTTCTCTCGAAAAAAGGCTCGAGACGAGACGAGAGAATGCCCTCTCTCGCTCGAGAATTTCTCGTTTCTCTCGATCTCTCTCGTTCTCTCGATTATAAAAAACAATTTTTTTTTACATAAAAATTATAATTTTGCACATAAATGACGATATTTCTTTGGACCAATGAGAACATTATTCGCATTTTATAATAAACAAAATTTGTTCCTGGTTAACGTTGTATTATTTTATAACACAACTTAACGTTAACCAAGAAAAAATTACTTATAAAATAATAATAATTTTTAAAATTTACCCTGTATAAGCACATCTATGGCACTCCTTATACTTAAAAAAAACCCGTATGCTTAATAAGCATTGCTTATTCAATAAACTTATCAACAACATGTGGTTTTTGAGGGCCTGATTACAAATTTGATATCCATTTTTTTAAAATAAAATGGCTGATCCAATATGACGAAAATTCGTCGTTCGGCTTTAATGGTTTGGGTAAAATTTAGTATTCAGATATTTATGGGGTCCCTGATTCAGAATTTGATATCCATTAAAAAAACAAAATTGCGGATTCAAAATGACGGACATGCGCAGTAGGTACATGATGGTTGGATCTATGCGCAGTAGTTTTCAGATGGATGGATCAAATGATTTGATCCATTGAAAACTACTGCGCCGATACAGGCTGTTTCTTTTAACTTGAGACAGCTCAATATCTCGAGAAAAACGCATTTCACGAAAAAATGTTTTAAATAAAAGGTTAATGTGACCAAAGGGGACATTATTTGGTGCTACCGCTAGCCACCCCCTACCCCTCCTTAAGGGTGAAACGGGGGGTAACTTTGGAGAGTCAAATGGGATAACCCTTTTTTTACAGATTTTGGTAGTACATAAAAAAATTATCATTTCGAACATTTGTTATAAATTGTTTTCAGAGCCCACTATTGTTGATTTAATGTTAATTTTTGTTTTTCAAACGTTTCAAATAATACATTTTACAAGGAAACCCAATTTTCTTAAATTTTGAATTACAGCGCCATCTGTTGATAAATTAAAAAAAAGTTTCAAATAAAAGTTATTCATTTTTTTATGTACTACCAAAATCTGTAAAAAAATCAGGTCATTCCATTTGACTTTCTAAAGTTACCCCCCGTTTCACCCTTAAGGAGGGGTAGGGGGTGGCTAGCGGTAGCACCAAATAATGACCCCTTTGGTCACATTAAGCTTTTATTTAAGACATTTTTCTGTGAAATGCGTATTTCACGAGATATTGAGCTGTCTTAAGTTAAAAGAAACACCTATTATTATAATAATAATATAATAGGTGTATAATACTAGATGTAACTACTCCACATAGATCCAACCATTTGATTCAAATGCGCAACATTTTCGGCGTAAAAAGTCTTACTTTATTATTGTGGTCTTGGCACACATTTTTTTTTATTTCCAGTTTAAATTTCTATATAAAAACATATAAACGAATTCGTATTTCATTCCAAATAATTTTTGTATTCATACTTAGGTACTTTTACCACGAGAGAAAGGAGACGAGACGAGAGAAAGGCACTCTCGAGCGAGAAAAGAGTATTCTCGACGAGACGAGAGACCCATTTTCTCTCGCTGCACGAGACGAGACGAGAGAAGGACTTTTCTCGTCTCGTCTCGCGGCATCACTACTTGCGCTTCCCCACTTTTTATTTTAAACAGTTAATATACATACATGAGAGTTTTTGGTTGAAGAACACATTCTAAGTTTCACTATTGAATGAAGAACATCATCCTAGAATATTTTTAATAAATATTTATTTATTTTTAACTTAAAAATAATAATTAAACAAAAATGGAATTTTTATAAACTCGATAGAAGTGGTGAAACATCACATGGAGTTGAACAAAAAGACCCAAGTCACAAATACAACGATACAACGCTGGGTGCAAAGCGGCCAAAAAGGATGGACTTAAGTGTTTGCAAAAAGGACTTTCTTTAGCTCTTAATAAGTTATGGGACTAAATTAGGTAAATTTTATTTTACATTTTTCTGGTTTTGCCTTTATTAGAAGTCTATAAAGTTGTTTTATTCCTTTACTTTTCTTATTAATTTATCACTAATACGTTTAATTGTAAGATTCTAATAACTTTTTTATTTACAGCAAATAGTCCTCAAGTCAACGGTATATGAAAGCTTTCTGGATACCGTCAAGAAAACCTCCAAATCAAACCACCTGTGCAATTTCAAAACCTAGCAGCTAACAAGTCTAAAAAAATTGGATTTTTTGACTTGCTAGGACCTAGCAAGCCAACCTATGCAAAAAGTCAAGTTGTATTTAGGGATACTTTTCAAATTATTAAATTATTAATTATAATAATTACTTACATTTAAATTCGTAACGAGCTTGATAAAATAAATATTTTTAATTGAAAGAATTTCAAAAGAGTTATTCCCATACCGGGAATCGAACCCGAGCCTCCTGGGTGAAAGCCAGGTATCCTAGCC